CCTCCATCTTCCTGCCGAGGGCGGGGATGCGGGAGGGGGAGGAGGATTCCCACGGCAGCCTTCCGGGGCTGCGGGTTGGAATGCATAAAGCACCGTTATTGAGACATAAATCACACCCTCCACGGGTCACCCAGGATTATGTACCTATTTTTCAACCTGGATTATATTTTAACCCGGGAAAGGGCTGTGTCCCGCCGGGCGGAGGAGGGCCGCACGGAGTTCTCAGAGGAGTTTCTGTGCCGGCCCATCCGGGCCCATCGCAGAGCCGGCGGCCCGCCCTGCAGTGGCTCCACCGTTTTCTGTTACCCACTCGCCGCCCACCATGTGCCGCTGAGACTCTGTCCCCGAAGCGATGTACAGCGTGTGTGTGTGTGTGTGTGTGTGTGTGTGTGTGTGTGTGTGTCTGTGTGTGTGTGTGTCTGACCTTGAGGGAGCCCCTTCCCTCCCTCTGTGCTCTCCTGGCCCACAGCCTCCCGCCAGGTATCAATCAGTGCATCCCCTCCCCACCCCTGGGGGAGCCAGGGGCCGGCAGGGGTGCGTTCTGACCGTCACCTTCCTCTGAACTGCCGCTTGCCCCTCTCGGCTTAAATGGTCGTTTTAAGGCATCCCAGGGGGAAGAGGTCATACACCACTCCCAGCCAACCTGCCGTAGCTTGGGGGTGATCCCATGTGCTCGGGGCAAATTTGGGGGATGTGGTTCCTAAAGGGACATTCACTTGCACCAGCTGTTCAAGCCCTGAGGGCCCTGACAGCCACACCTGGCAACCTCTCTTCCCTCCAGGGAACACCCCCCCCCCCCCCCCCATGTCCTGGCATGGGCTGCTGAGCTTTGTGAGTTTCTAAGGCCAATGCTTTAGAGCAGGGGGTGGGGAACCTTTTTCTGCCAAGGGCCATTTGGATGTTTATAACCTCCTTTGGGGCCATACAAAATTATCAACTTAAAAACTGGCCTGCTATATTTGGTCCAACGTTTAGTTAATTCACCCCTAATGCCGTGGCAGGGCCAGGCCAAATATTTCCCAGGCCTTATATGGCCAGGGGCCCGGACATGCCTCACTCTTGCTTTAGGAGAAGGCAAGCGAGGACCGTGCTGTAGGGCAGAGAGGAGACGTAAAGATGCCAATGAAGCCGAAACCAGTTTGGCTCAGTGAATAGAGCATCGGCCTGCGGACTGAAAGGTCCGGGGTTCGATTCCAGTCAAGGGCATGTACATATGGTTGCGGGCACATCCCCGGTAAGGGGTGTGCAGGAGGCAGCTGGTCGATGATTCTCTCTCATGGACGTTTCCAGCTCTCTATCCCTCTCTCCTCCTCTTTGTAAAAATTCAATAAAATATATTTAAAAAAATTTTTTTTGAAAAAAGATGCCAATGAACACAGGAGTGGGGGTGGTGGAGGGGCAGCCCCCGAAGACTCCACGGGAGATAAACACGCCGGGCGGGGAGCCGGAATAGAACAGCCGCCTCAGCCCGGCTTTTGAATCGGCCCCAAACGCAATGACATTTTCTTTTTTGGCGGCTTTGAAGAAGGAGAGGAGAAAATGTAGACACTGACATTAAGATGGATGGGGCTGAGACAAATCGCAGTTCTGAAGGCTTTCCCAGTGCGGGGAAGGCCGGGGCACGTCTCCGCGGTGTGCCTCTGCGGGAGCCGCCCTGTCTTCCCGGAGCCGGGAGAGAGCTGCAGAGTGAGGCGGCAGCTCTCAGCTTCACCGTTAACGCCCTGTTGGCTTCCATGGAGCCGGGGTCCGCTCCTGCACTGTAGGCTGACTTCTGCAACAGGAAAAGGACCGCGACCTCTCCGTGGAGAGATGCTGGGCACAGGGGCGAGGCCACAGTAGCTGGAAACTTTCCAGTTTCCAAGGGAAGGCGCCTGTGCAGAGCCCCTTCCAGGCAGAGCCTTCTGGCCCTGGGGCTGGCCGTGCACCTGACGTTAAAAGCAGGTTCGGCCGGCCGAAACTGGTTTGGCTCAGGGATAGCGTGTCGGTCTGCAGACTGAAAGGTCCCAGGTTCGATTCTGGTCAAGGGCACTGTACATTGGTTGCGGGCACATCCCCAGTAGGGAGTGTGCAAGAGGCAGCTGATCGATGACTCTCTCTCATTGATGTTTCTGGCTCTCTATCTCTCTCCCTTCCTCTCTGTACAAAAATCAATAAAATATAAAAAAATCAATAAAATATATTTTTTAAAAAAGCAGATTGGGCCAACCAGCTTCTCTGCACACACACGGCAGCTTGAAGGGGCAGGAATCTCATTAAGGAAGAACTATTGACCCATCGGACTGCATCCTGTTGACTCTGCTAACTTCCCATCTGTGGCCTGTGATTCTTTTTTTTTTTTTTTTTTTTAATATATTTTATTGATTTTTTACAGAGAGGAAGGGAGATGGAGAGAGAGTTAGAAACGTCGATGAGAGAGAAACATCGACCAGCCACCTCTTGCACACCCCACACCTGGGATATGCCCGCAGCCAACATACATGCCCTTGACTGGAATCGAACCTGGGACCTTTCAGTCCGCAGACCGACGCTCTACCGCTGAGCCAAATTGGCTTCGGCTGGCCTGTGATTCTTTAATGTGGGGAGTGGTCACTGGAGAAGAGAGATATAAAGAGGAATGAGACAATGACTGCATGTGACACGGAATAGCAAGGACTTGGAGGCCACTGCTCTAGACCATCTCCTGGCCATCACAAAATGAGACGTTCTGTTCCAGGCCCCCAGACTCCTCCTAGTCGCTCCGTAGGCTCCAGCTCAGGGGCTCTGCTGGCCCCTCCTACCTTCCTGTCTGTGTCCATGTCAGGAAAGGTGAGAAGTCCAGGGTTAACCTGGGGACCAACAGGGATGAGGGCCACACATGTCTTCAGGGAAACACCCGCACCCAGGATGGAAGGGAAATGACAGAGGCAGCTTAGAAAGACTCCCCCTGGTTTAATGCCATCGGTAGCTGCCAGACCCCAGGGACCATGGCTGTGTAGGCTGGGCAGAAAGCATTTCACGTGGCAGGCAGGTTGCATCTGCTTCAGCGGGTGCTGGCTGCCACGGTGACCCTCTTTTTGATGAGTATGGTTGAATCAACTCCCCTCTCCCCCCGCCTTTGGGCTTTGCTCCCACCATGCAACACAGATTGAAATACTGGGGCGGCAGGAGGTGGCAGTGGGGGCTGTGCTGGGGAGGGGACTGCGGGGACCTTCCATCTTGTTAATGTAACACTTCCTTACGTGACGGGAGCCGAGCGTGCCGGTAATGAATTTCTCCTCCGGTAATCATTCACTGGCGCCTTGTGACCTGCGTGTTTTTGCTGTGCTACTCATTTCCAGACTTTCGCCGTGACTTGTCAGCACCCAGCAAAAATGAATTGGACGCGACCTGTCTCTTTCCGCGATGCCCTCCCCGGCTGCCTCTCCTCTCAGTTGGGAGAAGGAGTAGGTGGGACCACCTGGAACAGCAGACACGGACTCCTCCTCGGCCGCGGTCCAATGCCAGGCCCGTCATGCAGGCAGATGGATGAGGGTGAGCCAAGTCTGTGGGCGCTCCTGTTACACGGAGCCACGTTCTTTGGTCCACACGGTTCCAAAGTGGCCCTTGCCATTTGCACCTGTTGTTTCTCGCTGAGTGATGAGCTGCGCAGGCAGTCTCTTCCATGGAGAAGACATGGGTGCACAGGATGGTGCAATTAGGCATCTGGGCACCCCATGGGTCCTTACCAACTCTGGTGTGAAGAGGCACTGATGGCGGGGGACGAGGCTACCGTCTGAGTCACACGCGTGAGCGTCGCCATCTGCAACTGTAATTCGAGCCACGTGGTCAGTCGTAAGAAGGGGTTTATCACCAGCTTTTACTGTGCCTGCGGGTCGTGATGATTAAGCAACAGATGGGAAACCCAACCACGATTTCCAATCTCTGCTGATGGGGAGAGTGAGGGCTGAGGGAGCACGGTGTGGTCTCTGTCTAGGGCTGAGTCTATAATTAGAGAGGCACCCCCCGATTTTCCGTGTCTGTTTTGTACACTCATTCTTATCAGACCACAAACACTGATTTTTGGCTTTAAAAGGGTGGTCCTGGGAAGGTCCTGGGATAAAAAGAAAGCCCTTCATTTAGGGTTGCCAGATAAAATGCAGGATACAATTTCAGATAAACAATAAATAAACTTTAAGTGTAGGTATGTCCTAAGTATTACACAGGAGTTTATTTTTAAGGTAAACTGCTTAACATTTTTTTTTCTATGAAAATGCTTTTTAAAATTGTGGTAAAATATACATAATATAAAATTTACCATTTTAACCATTTTTAAGTGTACAATTCAGTGGATCTAACTTCTTTCACAATGCTGTGCAAGCATTACCACTATCAATTTCCAGAACTTTTTCCACAGTGGCTGCATGGGATATTTTTAAAAATATATATTTTATTGATTTTTTTTACAGAGAGGAAGAGAGAGGGATAGAGAGTTAGAAACATCGATGAGAGAGAATCGTCTATCAGCTGCCTCCTGCACACTCCCTACTGGGGATGTTCCCGCAACCAAGGTACATGCCCTTGACCGGAATCGAACCTGGGACCTTTCAGTCTGCAGGCTGATGCTCTATCCACTATGCCAAACCAGTTTCAGCTGCATGGGATATTTTTATTTGCTAATTCCAGCAACCCTCCAACTTTGCAACAGTTTTTAGAGTTGAATATATTTGACCTACATTATCATATATCATCTCTCTGTATAAAAAGCCAGTGACTGTAACAGCATCATGACCATAATAACCATTAGACCAGAACCACCATGACTCCCCACTGGGCTGGCCCCGCCCCCCAGCAAGTGGTTAGGGGCACCCCTACACAACAAGATAGGGTGCAAGTTTGATGGGGGAAAGTCAAAGAAATAGCGGGGAAGATCTTAAGGGCCTACAGGTTTGGGGTGGTCCATCCTGAGTAGGTATGGAGTGTTCTGGGGAAGGAAGAGGAAGCTCTGATTAGAAAACGGCATCACCGATGGCCTTGACCCTGAAATGGCGCTGCTGGCTGAACACCTGCTGAAGCCGCTGCCCATGGACAAGCAGATCGAGACCAGGCCCTTCCTGGAGGTGGTGTCCCACCTGCCGCCCTTCTTTGACTGCCTTGGGTCCCCAGTGTTTACACCCATCAAGGCAGACATAAGTGTTAACATGAAAATCAAAGCGGAGTACACCAACCCAGCCAAGTTCCGAACCCTGCAGAACATCCTGGAGACGGAGAAGGAAATGTATGGAGCAGAGTGGCCCAAAGTGGGAGCCACACTGGACCTGATGTGTCTGAAAAGGAGTCTCTGCTTCATCTAGGTCTTCCTGCAGAGCATCTGCGATGGGGAGCGGAATGGGAGCCATCCCAACCTCATCTGTGTCGATGCCCCCCAAGGCCTACGAGATGCCGCTCAAGAAGTACCATGGCTGGATTGTGCAAAAAAATCTTCCAGGCAGCGCTGTATGCCAATCCCTGGAGTCTGACTTCCTGAAAACACTCTGCAAGGGCCAGAACATGACAGAAGAGGACTGCCTGGAGAAGGTCTGCCTGTTCCTGGTTAACTACACGGCCACCATTGAGGTCATCTGCGAGATATATACCAAGATGAACACCGAGCCCAACTATAAGGTATAGGAGTGCCCAGAGGCTGGCACTCCCAGAAACAGACAAGCTAGAATCACTGTGAGGCAAATTGGCAGGTCGCCTTCTATCCACCATGCTCTCCCTCCTGCCTGTCCCAGTCATCTGACTCACCCTGAGGTTTCAGCTCCATTGGACATGATGCTCAGGGGTGGCTTGCCCAATCCGCTCTAACACTTACAGCTTTCTGCTCTTCACTTCATGGCTCCTGCCATGATGGTTATGACAGTGTTGTGTGGTTATTGGACTCGCAAAGTCTCTTCTCTCTAGATTGTAAGCTCTCTGAAGGCAGGGACCACATCTGTTACACCTATTGTCTCCTAGTATCTAGCAAGGCACATAGTAGGCATTTAATATGAAATATGTTGAGGATATGAATGAAATTGTGCATAACTTCTTCCCTCATAAACTAGTAGAAGATAGACAAATAAGCACATCAACATCTATGTAAATCGGCATGAGTGGTGGGCCTAGGAAACAGAGAAATTTTGCTGAGAGAGAGCTTGGATTTGGGCCAGCTCCCCCATAGAATCAAGCCCAAGGGTATGCTCCCAGCCTCTCTGCAGAAGGGAGCCTGAGAGAACTCAGGACTGGGAGCTTTCCCTCCCTGAGTGTCCAACACAGATTCAGACAACCAAGCAGAACTACCGCATCCGCTGGGCTCCCGAGCTGAGGGCTCAGAATTAATTTAGCCCAATGCCCTCGTTAGAGATGGGAAAGCCAAGATGTGCATGACATTCCCAAGGACACAGAACAAGAGGCAGAACAAAGAACCCTGGTTCCCCCAAGCTCTGGGTTTAGCGCTCTCCCACCTCCTCAGCGTGTCCAAGTTCAAGGGTAAAGGAGCATTGGTGAGTTTCAAAACCCTCTCAAGCTTTCTTTGAACTTCCACAAGATATAAAAGCAGTTGGCTGGGAATAGAAACGCAACTGCTCAAGAGGAGGTGAGATGAGGGGGCTGGAGGAGAAAAGCAGGGATGAGAGAAAGCCAGTCCAGAAAGGCCGCCTGCCTGCCTGGCTCTGGAGTCCAGCCCGCAGGGTGGTTATGTGTGGGGCTTGGCAGTGCAGCTGGGCAGCCCGCGGGCGCTCAGATCCCAGTGGAGGCAGTCTGGGCTGCAGGATGGAGATTTATTAGCAGAGCTGTGCTCCAAGCCACGGCAACCTGGCTCTGCTGCTGATTCCCAGAGGCCTGGGGTGGAAGGAATGGTGTTGGAGGAAGGGAGGCTCTTGAGGTCGTTTGAATTGGGCTAGAGGAGGGTTCATACCTGACCACAGCTCTCAGGCCTGCTGTTTTGGTGAGGAGCCCAGAATGGAGCACCCCAAGTCCCTGGCCTGGGCTTTACTTCTCTGCTGGTGCCTCTGTGTACAAGGACTGGCCCTTAGGCCAGAGCTTTGCATTGTGTGGGCCTGCTCAGGCTGGATCCTCTGTTGAGAGAGGGCCTGCTCACCTGGGGCCACCAGGCAGGTGGAGTGTTGAGCACAGGCTCAGAGCAGCTGAAGGTCTTTCTCTCACAGCCCTCGAACAGCAGGCCTGCATGCAGTTGTCCTTTGGGGTTTGCTGGCAGGGGAAAGAGGATCAGGCGTCATCGCTGGATAGGCTGCAGGAACAGCTTGGCTCAGGGCTCCCTAGTGGTCTCTCACCCAGGTGTTCAGGGAGAACACAGAAGGCATGTCCTTCCTCCAAGAGCTCCTCTCAAGGTCACCGAGAAAATGAAGGACTGAAGAGGACCAGCCTTGGCCAGGAGGGAGCAGGCTTTGGGGCTTAGGAATTCGGAGAGGTAGGAATTCAAGGGCAAGCATGCCTCTGCCTTAGTCCTTAAGCTTCTTAGGACCCTTCTTGCTTTGCTGATGGCAACTGGCATTAAAGGTATCATGACGTCCTGACAGGTGTAGCTCAATAGTTGGAACATTGGCCTGAGGACTGAAGCATCATGGGTTCTGTTCCCAGTCAAGGGCACATGCCTGGGTTGCCAGTTCAATTCCTGGCCCGGATAGGGGGCATGTGGGAGAGGCAACTAATAGATGTTTCTCTCTCACACTCTTTCTTTCTCTCCTCCTTCTTCTCGTTTCCTCTCTCCCTAGAAATCAATGTAAAAATTATCCTCCAGTGAGGATTAAAAAAGTTGTATAAAGGCACACACACCCATTAAAAAAAAGTTACTGTGAAGGCCAGAGGTGGACAGAAGGGAGCTCAGAGAACCTACATAGGTGGCATTTCATATTTTGATAATCACTCCCTCATCTCACACCCTGTACCCCGGGGAGCGGATATTTTCCCCAGGAGTTTTATTTAGCTCAGCCTGGAGGTACAGCCTGAAGCTTAGGAGAATGGGAACACACTCATCCTTCCATTTCCTCTTCATGCTCCCCTCCTGGGGGCTCTACCCCCACCACCAGCGTTGTGGGGACAAAGGCACCGTGGCATCCAGATGGACCCTGTTTCCCTCAAGGATGGGCCTGCTCCAACTTTATTTCACTGCCTCCCCTGAGCACCGAATAAACATTTCCAAAGGATACTGATAAGGAAAAAAAAAGAGAGAGAGAGATCTTATGTAAACACTAGATGGCTAGAGACCAGGAGATATTATTAGTTTACTAGGGCTTTAAAAATACCCCAAAGCTCAACTAAAGGAAAGTAGAATTTGCTTTTCATTTTACCCTCTGTTACTGTTGCGAGGGTCAGGAATACAAAAGAAGCAGGGCTCTCAGGAGACACGGGATATTGCCAAGATCATAGCGAGGGCAGAGAGGGAAGCTGAAGGGATCTGACTCTGGTGACCTTCCGGGCCAGTGAGGAACGGGGATGGGGAGTGGGGAGCTGTTCTTTACAGACCTAAGGAAGGCCAGGGGTGGTGCGGAGCAATCAGAGCCTTCTCCCCTTCAAGGAGCTTATCTGGCTCCCGCCTCTGTGGTCTAGGAGCACTGCAGACGTCCTCTGTATGCTGTTCCTTCCAGGTGAAAGCTTTCCCCAGGCCCTTTGCTTAGCAGACGCCTCATCTCTTCCGGTTTTAGATTAACTATCACCTGCATAGCGAGGCCTTCCCTGGTCTGCCGTTAAGAGGTGTGTTTGTACGGATCATAGTCTTGGAAATCGACCAGGCAAGCCTTTGAGTTAAAATAGCCCCATGGGACAGGTAGCCCATTACCCATCTCCATCATATTCTTATTTTATAAAAAGCCAACCAGACAATCGACCTATTAATTCCCCATGAAAATGCTGAAAAAGGTTGTCCAAGGAGTGACCAAGCATCCTGGTTTGGCTGAGATGGAGGGGTTTTGGAAGGACACGGGACTTTCAGAGCAAGCTGGGATGATTTGGTCACCTCAAATCTCTTCATCTCTAGTAAAAAAAAACACAAAAAAACAAAAAAACAAAAAAACAAAAAAACAAACAAAAAAAAAACCACTCAACTAAATATCTCTGGTATAATGTTTATTTAAATAGTAATCTTAAAAAGGCTTTATACAAATCATATAAACACAGTTTGACATTGTTGTTTAATTTTTACATTGAAGAATCACAGTAAAAGCTCTCAAGTTCCCGTGACCTGGCTCAGCCAGCAAATGGTCGCATACCTTTAACTGCAAACCCTGGAAAAGCTAACCTGTGTGATGGTTGAACTTCTCCCCTTGTTTTCTTGCCATTCATGCTCATTCCTTGGACCCTCATCCCTGTCAACTCCTCATTCCCACCTAAGAGAGAAAGCAACCCTGTGGCCCCGTGGCCCGTCTAATCCGGGAGAGCGTGGAGGTAATGTGTCATTCAGTACAAGGCAAAAAAGGAGATCAATACTGTGAGTGGAGTTTCCCAAAGGGAGTGACTTAAGGAGACGGATCAGCCAGCCCACCTGCAGATGGAGACGACAATGCACCAGGGTGCCCTCTAGCCAAGTTATAATCGGGGCCCCACAATCTTTCTGTCTCGCCAGAGACCAGCCTCCAGCATTGGTGAGGTATCTGCACGCAGCCTTGGGGAGCCTGCTCTTGTTCAGCATTCAGGGCCCACCTGGGGCTTCACGGAGAACACGGACACGGAGGGATGCAGGCCGAGTTGTACGTAACTTTGAGGTGAACTGCGGGCTGGGGAGCTGTAACATGGTCCGTTGGGCATGAGACAGCCAGCCCCCCAGAGTAGACGTTTGAACTTCTTCTGCAGGCTGCTCCTGGAAATCCCCAGGACTTGCTAGCTTCCTGAACACGGAGCTACACGGGAAGGCGAAGAGGAGGGTAGGCCATTTAAACACTTGCTTCTGCTGTACGCCCAGCGTGGGGTAGGCCTCCAGCTAAGCCCTCGGGCTTGAACGGCTCTACTTTGCACCTTTAACTACCACTGTGCCAGAGAGTGCTGAGATCAGCCGTTAACTCAGGCCCTCGGTCAGAGTCAAAGTCACAACAACACCACTGAGTCCCACGTGACCATTCACATACACAGTAGATACAGAGAACTCAAAGGCGGCACAGACACACACACACGTAGGAATAAATAGCTGTCAGCACAAGTTTCTCTCTCTGCACACAAAACACGGTGACGTTCCATTGGAACCAGCGTTTCCATGAGTTAACTTTACAGGAACTGCCAGCCCCATTCACCCTTCCCTCCCACCTGGGTATGAGACACATGAGATTGGGGGTGACCATAGCAGCAAAAATGGTCTGAAAGTTTATGCGATAGGCTGGGCACGCTGGGTGAGTTTCCACCAGCACACAGGTAAACCTTAGGCATCACGACAAAACCAGATTTGGATCTCAGCGAGGACAATCCTATCCTTCGCACAGGTTCATCCATTCCTGACGCGGCCCCTTCTGGAGCAGGTGAGAGTCATCTGGGCAATGGCTGCCACGTGTGCAGGAGGGCTCATTCCATTAGTAGGTCAGCGGGGAGGTGGGGGAGCTGGGCGGGGAGCCACTGGGGTTAAGAAAGAAGGAATGCCTTAACTTGTGTGATATTCACCTATTTTGACATAGAGGGAAAACACATTTTTCTTCACTTTTTCAAGGCACTTAATAAAAAAACACATGGATTGGTGCGTGTATGTGTGTGAGAGAACATTGGTCTCTCTGGGGTTTAGGCAGGGATGCCAGCATTTTGGTTCACAGTGTTTGCAGACTTCCGGCGAGATGCCCTGACATCCTGGCCCGGCCTTCCTGAAAGGTGGAGGTGGTGGCCATCATCCCAAGAAGAGATCAACGTTGACTCCTGTCTGCTCAGCCTTTGCCATCACACGATCAGGGGCTGGACTTCTTTTCCCTCCCCACTGCCTCTCCACCTGGGGAAGGGGGTGAGGGGTAGGAGTGGGGGTGGGAGACCAGGCGCATCGCACCGACAGAGAAAACAGAGCCTGTGTCTCCCCACCCCACCTCTGAGCCTATCAAACAAGGCCTTTCCTGGGCCTTATAGACAACTGTGGGGTGTGTGTGTGTGTGTGTGTGTGTGTGTGTGCATGAGTGTGTGTGTATGTGTCCATGTCTTAGGAGAACAGGGAGGAGGGAAAAGAAAAAGCAGAACCACCCCCGGAGGCCCCGCACGGAGCCCCACAGCCACCCATCCTGGTCTGAACGGCTCCTGTTCACAAAGCTCGTTAAGGCTCGTCCACGTCTCACGTGAAGGGGCTTCCGCGGGATTTGACGTGTGAAGTTTCCTTTCTGGTTTGTTTTAAATCGCATGTAGGAAAGGGCTGTTGGTGCTGACCCCAAAATGGCAATTTTCCCCTGGATAAAAAAGTTAAAGGCAACGAAATCCTACGTAAATGCTAGCACGGGGCACGCAGCGTGCAGGGTCGGCGGCAGGGCCTTCGCCACAGCGGATCCCGTGAGCCATGAGAAGATCAGAAGACGGGATGAGCTGCACGGCTTGTTTTTTTCCCCCCAAAGGTGGGAAGTGTGGAGAGACCTCTTTGCTTTTCAAGTGTTGATGAGAAACAGAAAGCAGAGAATAAGGGTCCCCCTCTGTGTCTATGCCAGAAAAGTCATTCTCTTCTGCCTCTTCGAATTGCTCACAGACCGAAGAAATGAAATGTAACAACAACAACAACAACAAACCCACAAACAAAAGAGAACTGTGACCCCAAAGAGATGAGCTCCCGTCTTAGTCCCAGCAAGGACTCGGCCCCCCGCTGTGCTAGGTGGGTCGTGCCCACCCTCCCCCATGCAGCTGCATCTCCCTCCTCCCTCCACTTGCCCGCCCGTCCTGTCCACACCTCTGGCAATTCTGGATCGGTGTGATCGAGATTATGGCATTCAGTTTCCAAAGGGAAAACAAATTGTAATCTTCCACCGGCCCCTCTCGCTGGAATGAGACGTCAGATGTGATTTGGGTGCAATCCGTCAGGCCTCAGAGCAGCACTTCTGGTGGTTCATCTTGACCTTGTGCTTGAGGCCGTCGTAGAGCTCAAAGTTGTAGTTCTCGAGCGTGGTGCAGCTGCGGGAGCTCAGGCCCGAGTAGGAGCAGGTGCAGTAGAGCAGGAGCCCGGCGCACGTGGCCCCCAGAAGGACGCCCAGCGAGCTCATGGCGATGATGGTGATGAGGATGGGATCCAGCGTGTAGAGCCAGCTCTTCTCTTTGTCGGCCTCCGGGGTGCTGGACCCAGAGGTGGAGGAGGAGGAGTTGCTCCAGTCCACTTCGTACTCATCTAGGACAGAAAGCACAGGGCAGATGGCAGGGCGAAATGCCCGAGCCTCCCCAGCCCGGCCCACAGGTTCTTCAGAGCGTGGGTGGGAAGCCGGGACTTGCACTGCGTGGCTTCAAAGCCCAGCCCTGCCACTGCCTCGCTGTGTAACTTTGGGAAAGTTATGGAACCTCGCTTTGCCTCAGTTCTCTCATCTGTAAAATGGGGATGTTAACCAAGTCTACCTCACTTGGTTGCTAGGGGAACTACATGAATATTCATAAAGAGGTAGTGTCCAGCATATAGTGAGTATAGTCTAAGTATGTGAGACTTAGTAATTTCACTAATGCTAAGTAAATACGTATAATAACAGAACTTTCAGGGAGCCTTTGGAGCCCCTGGGATGGCCCCGTGTCAGGGCACCCTTCCTTCTTTGCCTCCTTATCCCTGACTTCCAAGTGCTTCAGGTTAAATCGATGGACAGGCTGAGGCTCTGCTCACAGGAGGAGTATCTGTAGACTATCCAAGCGGCAGATGTTTCCCAAGCCACCAGACTTCACTTGACACCCGTCTTACCTTACTAATGGGCTGAATTATGTCCCTTCCCAAGAGTCATATGTTGAAGTCTTAAATCCCAGAACCTCAGAGTGTGACCTTATTTGGAGATAGGAACTTTACAGAGGTAATCACGCTGAAATAGGGTGGGCCCTAACTCAGCGTGACTGGTATTCTTATAAAAAGGAGAAACCTGAGACAGCCTGAGATGGCAGATTGCCATGTGGATATGGGGATGGCCATGTACAAGCCAAAGAGAAGGGCTTGTAGCAGATTCCCCCTCACAACCCTCAGAAGGAACCCACACTGTTGACACCTTGATCTTGGACTTCAGTCTCCAGGATGATGAGAAATACACTTCTGTTGTTTAAGCCACCCAATGTGGCCAAGGCACGAGGCAGCCATGGCTTATTTTGTGGGATTTCCTGATCCTTCCAGGAAGAAAGCAGGGTGATCTATCTATCTATCTATTTATCTATCTATCTACTAGAGACCTGGATCACAAAATTTGTGCAAGGACTCAGCCCTCACAGCCCTGGCTTTGTCCAGAAGGTGGTTCAGCTGTCTGGTCTAATTAGCATATTATACTATATATATATATATATATATATATATATATATATATATATATATTTGATTTTTTACAGAGAGGGATAGAAAGTTAGAAACATCGATCAGCTGCCTCCTGCACACTCCCCACTGGGGATGTACCTGCAACCAAGGTACATGCCCTTGACTGGAATTGAACCCAGGACCCTCAGGCTAACACTCTATCCAGTGAGCCAAAATGTTTAGGGCTATTACTATAGATATAGATGATGAGATCGAGGTTTTAAGATATTAGATGACTAGGTAACTCACTCAGGGTCCCAGTCAGCAAGCAGTTGCAGTGAGCCTTGCAGGCTTTCTGCAGCCTCCTGACCCCCCCCCCCCCCCCCCCCCCCCGGCCGGGCTCATTGCCTGATCCACTGCAGCCTCTCCACGGAGGCCAGTTGCGCAGCTTTGCCCATAAAAGGAGCCTTAGCCTGGATTTGCGGGCAGAGTCTGCGTTCAGTTAACAAGGTGCTGTTTGGATTAGTCACTCTGTTTCTATAACTACACTTGAAGTGTTTGATTAAGGTCGGGTGAAAGCAGCTGTTCTATAAACTGCTCTTCTTAAATGCATCCATCTTGGTCTAAAAGCTATTCTCCGAGGGGGGACCTTCGTGATCTCTCCTGGAGATCAGCTCTGGCACCCAGAGAAGCCCGGAGAGACCTGTGCTGCTCTGAGCCCAGGAAAGAAATGACATCTACATGTTTACTCAGTGGCCCTTCAGTCGGGATTCTCACTTCAGCCTCTTGTGCCTGAAGTGGGAAAACAGAGCTTGACATAAAATGAAAACACGAGTTGGGCAGTGTGAGAAAGAAACATGGATCTTGCAGGAAGTCCCAACTCGGAGTCTTGGAGAGTGTGAGAAGGGCCCCTACATGCCAAGGCAATGGCAGCCGCAGCAGGCCTGGGAGGGTAGTCACACTGACACTCATTCACTGAGGCACTTTTTGGAAGGAGGTTAATGGGTTCAAGCAGTGACTCCTGTAGGGGACCCTGGCCTTCACTTCTCAAGGGTTTCTCCAGATTTAAAGTCCATCAATGTTGAAAGTTGCCCGAAGTAGGGGGACCTGTTTCAGATTAGGCAGAAGAGACTCGATATACTTTCTAAACTCTAAATTTGACCTTGACAGAGTAATTGGTGGTTTCTGGCCCTCTTCAGCACGTCTTTATAACCAAACTTGAATTTCATGATTATCTGCTAAATCATAGTAATACTTACCAACAATTTCATCTTCATAGCCCTCTCTCCCATGTACTTCTGGGATGTCCACTGTAATGAAAAAGGAAACAAACAAATCAAGTTATAACCAGTTCTATCACCATGGCTACAAGGCAGAGACTCAACCTTTCTGAGAACGACTCCTCGGTATGTTGGCAGATCAAGCATCCCATCTGCTTCTAGATCATGTTGCAAGGCATATTAACGAAGCCTTTCCCCTCAAAGGATCTATCTTTATGTCCAGTAACCAGAAGAACAGAAACAACAGAAAAGGTCTTTAGTGCCAGGTAAATCCTCACTTGTGTCTTTATAATGATTGTTATTCATTAGCAATATAGGTCTGAGTTGTCTAAGGCAACTTCAACGACATTGCATGTCCATCCTCGGCTATCATCTAGTATAACATACTGACCCTCCTTATATGATGATGTATCTAGGTGGACACAAAATTCAAGAGTTTTTCTCCTCTGGATTTCAAATAAATGTATGGTAATATAAGAAAGTCATGTTCCATCATTACATGCTTCAAGATAGACATAGAATTGGAAAGAATGTCATGCCTATTCCCCTTCACATATCTGTGATAATATCTCCCATCTTTCCTTACCCGTCTATTTTTCTGTTGGCTTTCTTTAGTTTAGAATAGATCAAACATGGGCATCCAATCTGACTAGCCCAGTCTTGAATACAACTGAGTTAATTTACTCTGAATTTTCTCCAGTATTATCACTATCTTTTTCTTTTTTTTATGATAATATTTTGGGGAAGGGGGTAATACAGGTTTTTCTATTCACTATGCTGTCTATCTTATAGAAATCAGAGCCAATAAAATTACCTGTCTAAAATGGAGAAACATTAAAAAAGAGAATCAAATAGGTGGTGAAGAACAGGGTCTTATCACTTCTTCCAATCTCACAAGTTAATTATGCTTGTTCCAGCTGTTAGCAAAATAACACAAGGGAATGTATGTGGCCCTTTGAGACTTCTATTCAGCCCGAAGTCAGGTGGACAACCTTGAAGTCAGCACTGTAAATTGATATGTCGAAATCAAGGCTTACCACAAAACCCAAATCCTAAACAGCTAACGTATCAAACAAAAGGAATAAAAAGAGCTTGAGGCCTAATAAAAAGAGCTTGAACTTCTCCTTGATCAGCATAACATCTCAGGGAAAGATCTACTTGACCATGACCTGAACTGAAGATCCAGCCATCACGGCCACACATAAAATTCAGACTTTCCTTGGAGATGCTAGTTGTAATCACGTTACAACCTCATCCCTGGCAAAAGTGCTTAAGCACATTCTTATTCCCTTGGTCGCCCAGAAGAGATGCACAAAACAAGGTGCCAAGACCCCACTTGAAAGGATCGATGCCATTGGCACCAATCTCCCATAAATCCAGCCTGCTCCTGGCCTGTTTATAGCACAGCAACTGGCACCTGCAGGCTGTGCCAGCCTCCCCTCCTCGGCGCCCATCCCCTGCATTATTCTCCGTCCTCTACAATACAGACTGTTTCCCTGGAAGGAAGATGTGGACACGAATCAACAAGAGGCAGGTGGTGTCTGTCATGGGGATCAAACCAAACTTGTGAAAGTCAACCTGGAGATTTTTTATTTTTAACCTTATGAAAAATAACACAAACAAGGGAGAAAGCCATCCCATTTCCAACCATGAATGGTCTTAATACCTTCACGGTTAAAAGATGCAGAACATTGGATGAGACTATGAATGAGCCAGAACAAAAATTGTGGGACTTCTATCTGTGAGGTTTGGGCCAAATCCTGCTCTTGCTTTTAGGTACTTGGTCTTTACAAGGGATGTGATGAGTTCTTGGAGGTTAGACTGCCATCTTGCTCCATGTCACACCCTCAGAGAAGAACTCTGAGGACACTATTGAGGATGGTCTGGAAAGGGATGGAGGTTGCCTGAGTCTTAAAGAAAAAAGGGTTAGAGGGTAGTGGTATCTATGAGAACATTTTGTCCTAGGTACAGTAGTCGGCAAACTCATTAGTCAACAGAGCCAAATGTCAACAGTACAATGATTGAAATTTGAGAGCCGAAAAGTTACTTCTGCGCATGGGCTATGAAGTTTCAATTGCCTGCACGTGGTATTCTGTGGAAGAGGCATACTCAAGGGGCCAAAGAGCCACATGTGGCTCGTGAGCCATAGTTTGCTGACTACTGTCTAAGGAGACCTTAGCCTCTTGTCTCTGGAGGCAGAGGACTGGATGAGATGACCTCCTAAGAATCAGTCATTTCTAAGAAACTGGACCAATGAAATTGGTCTGTGAAATTGATTGCCTAGATGTGGCTGATAGTTCTGCACCTGGAGAATAAAAGGCTACTTAAGGCGAAGAACATATTAGAGGCTTGACTTGGCTTTTGACTGCTTCCAGCAGATTGTGTGAGTGGGAAGGGGTCGAAAAGAGGATAAGTTAATCAACATTTTCAAACATGCATCTGTTCACCAAGCCTTAAAGAAAGAATGGCGCACTGGGGAAAACCCAAATAAAGGGAACATTTGTACATAAACAATTTAATTTGATAGCCATTTTCTCTAGTCCCTTTGCTAATATTCTTGATTCTGGGTTTGATTAAGAGCTTTCTTTCTCAAAATCCTCTTTGGCCTTCACATGCCACCTTCCTTTTCTGTTGAGCCTCGTAGGTAAACCTTAGCCTCTTGGCAGCAATGAGTATGGTTCCACCAGGTTCCTGTAGTTCTAGCAAAGACAAGGCAAGGGTTTGTAGGAGGGAGAAGTAATGAGTGAGGAGCTCAAGGCAGAGAGTGGAGGCAGCACCTCCCTGGGAAGGAGACCTAGCTTGAGAACTGAGGCAGATAGCAAAACAAACAAACAAACAAACAAAACCCACAAAAAACAAAAAACAGCAACAACAACAAAAAACACACACAAAAAACAAAAAACCAAACACGTGGGATCTAGGGACCTGGAATTTTGTTTTTAGATTTTTTTTTCTTTATGAGGAAAAACTTGAAGAGAACCTCTCAGGACTCTGTTGTAGGGAGTGGTTATGAGTGTCAGATGGATGAGGAAAAGCAGAATGGGCCACACATTTAGAACACAGGTCAAGGATGGATCTTACCACCCACATGACTTCCACTTTCAACCTTTGTGCTTATATGACCCTCTTTCCTTTTGGGCCCCCGTAGGGGTTCACTCTCAGGCCAATCTGACTGCAAAGCCTAAAATCTGACGCTCAGTGCTGCATCAGGGCCAGAGGAGAGCCTTCCTCCCCTCATCTGCTCTCAGGTTCTCTGGGTGTGGGCAGGACACTACAATTGCCTCCATATCATCATTACCCCATCCTAACAGAAATAAAGGTCTTGGATCCGAATCGCCTGGATACACACCCTCCCGAGGTGTACGTGCTTCAATGGCTCACAACTTTGATGGGAACTAATGAAGGTCTCTCCTGAATGAGAAGATGTGGCTATCTGAAATTTGGGGCTTCACATTTTCTCTGATAGGCGTTCCTCAAAGAGGAAAGGCAGATTTAAATTGTTCTTCATTAACTAGCTAACTAACCTATCAACCAACCATCACTTATTAAGAGGGTTTTCTAGGTGCCCAGGAACCATATTGAGGACTTTGGGAAATGAAGATGAATAGGACCAGGTGTCTGTAATCAAGGCCCTGTGTGGTTGGGAAACAGAGACTCACCCACAACAAAATAGTGTACAAGAAAGGTGGGCATTGTGCAGGGGACTCCGGCTGCTGCTGGAGCACAGGATGGGGATTGGGCAAAGGAGGCTGGGCCAGGGCCAGGAAAGAAACCTGGGAGTGAGGAGGAGGACACTTCAAAATTAAGCTGCAAAATGGAGGCTGGAAGTTGTAGGAATGGTTTCAAACGTGGCACTTGAAGCTTTTTACTCATACACTGATTTTGGGCTCAAATTCATTTTTACCAGATTCTCTTTGAGGAATCCAAAGAGATTGCCTTGCCCTACCACAAATCCTCCACCCTGTACTTCCCAACCCGAGAGCCAAGTCTGTCCCCTCTCCCTGCACCCGCTGCTGCAGACCAGCACAGTGAGAGGAAGAATGGCTCCTGTCGACCAGAAGGGATTTTAGTAGAATTAGAGCAATCAAGGAAGCCTTCTTAAAACAAAACCACAATCCAACTAAACACAGCCATGTTTATATGGACCTTGAACCTCAGTCGGAAAGTCCTCTTGCTCCCCAGGAGTTCTTTCTTTAGCATCACTGAGAGGTGGGCTAGGTACACAGTGATGAGTGATTCAAGGTCTCATCTATCTCCCATTTTCCTGATTTTTCAGAGCAGGAGTCATTAAACACCCACTGGACTTTTTCAGGAACTCCTTCCCCCTTAGAAAAGTCAAATATTCTCCAGTGTCCTTATCAGTAGATCGCAATACTATGGCACGAAGGGTGAACAGCCATACCTAGTTAAGAACCGAACCTAGTCTAAGAGATGTTTACCCCATGGGGTCTGGAACAGTGCCTGGTGGCGTAAGACCACACATGCTGAGCAGAGGAAACACCCCAGACACTCCAACCTGCACCAGGAAATTCCCCACTGAGCATGATTTAGGCCTCAAACAAGAATGCTTTATCTCACAGTTCTTTCTTCTCTCTCCTCATTTTCTTTCTTTCTTAAATTAAGATCCTTTGGAGTTAGTTTCTTTTTCTGTTATGGAAAAATTATGACCTTCATTTTCACCACTTCTGCTCTGCTGTGGTCTACTGTGAGTGTACTGGCATTGACATTGTTCTGTGTACTTTCTGTGTGGTACAGGGAGTTTCATAGGGTTGCTGAGAGAGTTAGCAGCCAAACCATTGGCTACTTTTATATGTAAGACAGTCCATCCCCAGGTCACTTCTGCACAGTGTCATTTTAGGACACTGACATACACAGGTTCTCCAGAGAGTCCCTTCCATGCCTACTCTGAGAGTAGATTGAGAGGCTTGGTTGAAGCCTAGGACAAGTTTGCCATCTAGAATGTGTAGCAGAGACACCCCAAGGGCCATCACTCTGTACCTGAAGGGAATATGGAGGAGTAGTGGATTGGG